ACCTCTGAGCCATCTCTCTAGCCCATGTTTTAATTTTAAAAAACCCAACCCTTCCATCTTAACATGAGTTTCCCAAAGAAACTTCCTTTGTCTGAATGGTGGCTTCATTAATGGAGCCCCCTGCAGTCTCTCCTGGCCTTCCTAATAACCTGTCCTCCATGTTCGAAGGGAATGGCATTCGTTCATGTGCACAGAGGCCAGGCCTCCCCAAGCAGGTTGGGGCAGAGCCCAGGACCATTCTTCATCTCTCCCTTCCCTGTTGAGTCAGGAATTGGGGCTTCGGAGCCACACAGGGCAGCATCTAAGCTCACCTCCAACCACACTGGGCAGTGCTCACAGGAGCCCAATAATTACCACAGTTTAAACTGGTCCTTTTCACCATGGCCAGCCCAATGTATCACTAGGTGATTTCTTCCTTGTGTATCAGTTAGACAGCTGTCATGTCACTAGGCAAGTTGTCCTTATGTGGTCAATGGTGCAACTGTAGTTGGGTTTTTGCCATTAGATTCCTTACCTGTCCTTAGAACAGCACTGATCTACTAGGTCAGGTGGAGGGCTATGGGGTCCTCTGAGTCCTAACAGGGTTTCTAGGCCTAGTTCAGAATTAATTCATCCTCTAAATGGAAATGTCAAGGCTTGCCAGACATTCTTGCTAATGACTCTGGTGATGAAATACTTGGGCAGCAAACAGTCGGCAACACAAAAATGGATTTTGCTGGCAAAGCCGTCACTCTTGGGCCATCTCAGCCTTGCGGTGGCCTCATGAGGCAGTTCATTCTTTTCATTTCATTAATTCTGAATAAAAGAAAGTGGCTTAGCCCAGGCTCCCGGGAAGACAGAGGGGAATGATCTTAGGAGAGGGTTTCCAAGGATGAGGGAGCCGGTACCAGAGACTCTTAGAACAAAACAGGTTTGGGAGCGGAAGGACAGCATGCCCTGTCAACACCAACACCAAGGGCTGGCTCCCTCCGTGTGCTGCAGGAAGCTGCTTCACAGTGTTTTCAAATTAAGGATACCTGGCCTAACCCTGAAATGCTCCAAAACTTAACTTTTTGAGCACATAAAATGATGTCACAAGTGGAAAAGTCCTCACCTGATCCCATGTGATAGGTCACACTTGGAATGCAGGGACTTTAATATATAAAATTACTTTCGAGCTGTGTGTATGGATGCATTTGAAACATGTATGGATTTTATGTTTAGACTTGGGTCCCGTCCTGTAACTATCTCATTATGTGCAAATATTTGAAAGTATGAGAAAACCGGAAGTTGCAAACACTGCCTTTTGTATGAGAAACCGTCAACCTGAACCATGTGCGGAGCACTGGAAGAGGGGTTGGTGGCTTCAGCCGCCTTATCCCTGCTGTCCTGGGTGGCAAGTTTTCAAACCTCACACCCAGGGCCCCTTCATGCCTATACCACGGCAAGGACCTCTCAGACACCAACCAGATAGTGCTAGCTAGGGCATCTGTGGAAGCCTTCACAAGTTCATGTGCCCAGGGTGGTGCACCTGAGTTCACAAGGGCAGAAAGAGCATGAAAGTGCTTTGCTGGGGACGTGGTTCAATTGGTAGAGAGCCTGCTCACCATGCACAACACACTGGCTTTGATTCCTAACACTGCATAAAACAGATAGGGTGATGTATAGCTCAACACTTGGTAAGTAGAAGCAGGAGTATCAAGAATTCAAGGTCATTTTCAACTACCTAACAAGTTTGATGCCAGCCTGGGCTACATGAGACCCTGAAGTAGGAAGATCAAGAATTCAAGGTCATTTTTAAGTAACTAAGAAATTTTGAGACCAGCCTGGGTTACATGAGACCCTGTCTCAAAACAAAACAACAAAAAAATGGAAAGTGGGGTGGGCTTTGTTGTAATAAGGCTCCCTTTTCTACCCTATGTTCTCTTCAAAAACACAAACGGAAGAAGTTTTCAAGTCATCTTTATATTTTAGTTTAGTTT